CCGGGGATGGATCCAGGCTCATTGCTGTGGGTGGGAGAGATGCCTCCTCCCCTAGGTGCCCCCACGCATTCCCTAGAGCCCCTCCGTGTTGTCCCCCCCCTGGGATAACTCACCCTGGGGACATTTGTCCAGTTTCCCTAAGAGAACCGAGGTGACACAGGGGCAGCTCAGCCCAAGTTCACACAACGTGCCCAACCAGCTTGCAGGGGTGATAACACCCATCAGCTGCAGCCCAAGTTGGGCTCTGTTAATTAGAGTTGCTCGTTAAGACAGGCACATGCACCATAACCCTCCTGCTTTGATGCTGGTGCTGCCTGTGGGTCCAACCCAGCACCAGTTTGAGCACAGGAACACACCACAAACGCCCCCCAACCCTGTCAGCCTCCCACTGCCGGGACCCCCGGGGTCCCCCAAGCTCCAACTGTTGGGAAAATTGACCCCCAATGGAGGGAAATCTGGTCCTGAATGGAGCAGCAGCAGCTCCTGCACAGCGAGGAAGATGAGGATGGATCAGAGGGAGGCAGGTCCGACCGCGGCGCTGAGTCCCTTGTGAATCATTTTATTTTCACTGCTGCGGAGAGTAGGAGTGAAAATACCATTAAGTTGAAATCAGTCGAGAACTACATATGTCTCTAGATATATCTGTACAGTCTACCAGTATATATACACATTATATATAAATATATACATAGGGTCTCCGGGTTTAAGGTTGAAACCTGTCGAACCCACTAAAGCCCACTGGAGGAAGATTTGGAGAAGAGACTTTTACCATGAGAAAACAAGCCTGAATTAGCACAGGGGCTTAATGAACCTTCCAGCACTGGGAAGGGGGAAGCACCCAGCTTGCAGGGTCACTGGGGTGTCCCCAGGCTGTGGGGAGCATCCCTGTCCCGTCCCCAGGGAGGGGGACACGGTGCCCATCCACGCCTGCCTCAGAGAAGGGTCAGTTTTAGTGGCTGAACACAAAGGAGGTAACAGCTGGTTTCTTTGGTTTACTGCTTTAGTGCTTATTTCAGTTGGATTTTTTTTTTTTTTATACCTCTAATGCTCGACCTTAAATCTAAATCCTGAGAATCAGGAAGAAAAAAAAGAGTATAATCCCCCCTAAACCCGGACACCCTATATATGCAGGTACAGCTATCAAAGAGGGAAGCGATACATGTGAAAAGAGGGAGAGAGGGGAATTAAAAAATAGCTTTTCCAAACAGAGTAAATTCTTCCCTTTTCTTTTTCTTTCATTTTTTTTTCTAATAAAAAAAAGTAAAACCAGTCGTGTGTGTTTGATTCAAGGAAGGAAGAGAGAATAAAACTTCCAGGAGATGGGAGTGAAGGCGGGAGGGCAGAGGGACTGGGAGAGCAGAGCAGAGATTTCAGGGGTTGGCACAACCCAGGTTTACACCCATGTCAGCATCTGCCCCCCGGTACCTAAATACTGAATTTCACTGAATTTTTAGAGTTGGAAGGGACCATAGAGATCATCTAGTCCAACCCCCCTGCTGAAGCAGGATTGCCTAGAGCTTGTCAGAGCATGTTACTCAGGAGCATCCAGGCGGGTCTTGAAAATCTCCAAAGAAGGGGACTCCACCCCCTCCCTGGGCAGCCTGTTCCAGGGCTCTGCCACCCTCACTGTGAAACAGGCCTTCCTCATATTCAAGTGGAACCCTTTATGTTCCAACTTGTGCCCGTTGCCCCTTGTCCTCTCACTGGGAACCACTGAAAAGAGTCTGGTTCCCTCCTCCCTCAGCCCGCCCTTGAGATACTTGTCAGCATTAATAAGGTCTCCCCTCAGCCTTCTCTTCTCCAGACTAAAGAGTCCCAGCTCTTTCAGCCTCTCCTCATAAGGGAGATGCTCCAGTCCTTGAATCATCTTTGTAGCCCTATGCTGGACTCTTTCCAGTAATATGAGGGTGAGGGTCCTGCTGGCATCGCTGCAAAGCAGCTGGCTCTGCTCTGCTCCCCGGGGGGAGAGTCCCATGCCCAGGGCAGGTCGGTGGCATGGGGGTCCCGCAGGCTTTGGGTCCTGCCTCGGGGAGGGCAGGGTTTAGCTGGAAGCAGCAGAAAAGGGGTGATGCACTGAGCCCCCCATCTCCACAGCACAGGGCAGCGGGAGGATGCAGGATGCGGCACCGTGGACCAGTGATGCTGGGTTTGGGGCGGGGGGGAAGAAGTTTGGGAGGGGTAAAATCTTTGGGGGGAGCTGGTCTTGCAAAGGAGGGTGCGTGTTGCTGCGGGGAAGGTGCGACCCACCCAGGGCACCGGAGAGCCCAGCTCCAGCTGGGGGGGCTGGACACCCTTCCCGCTCCCCCCTGCCAAATTCCCACCACCAGAGCAATGAGGGGCCAAGGTCAAAGCCCCCCCCCAAAGTAGGACCCAGGCGGGAGGAGCGTGTCCCCCACCCGGGGCCCCGGGACGTGGCTCTGGCCACGAGGTGTCGTTGCCGGTCCTGCCGGCCACCCTCTGCCCGCAGGGATCCTGCTCCCCCGGCCCCCCCGACACCCAGCATCACCCCGAGCATCCCTGTCCCACCTCCAGAGCAGGGCATTTGTCCCCAGGGACATCGGGGGCTCTCCGGGTGCCACCATGACATGACCCGGGTCCTGCAGCGAGGTGACCCCCCCTTGGGTTCCCTCCTCAGCTCCATCCGGAGATGCCTTTGGCTTGGACCAAATCCAGCCTCCTGAAGCTCTGCCGGGTGGAAGGGGAGGGACAGAGCCAGCTCCAGGGCTGGCCTGGGGGAGGGCAGAGAAGGCAGACCCCCCCAGGCAGGGAACTGGGGTGAGCGTGGCAGCCACCCCTGGGGCTGATGCTGTGACCTGGGATGGCAGTGCTGTCCTGCAGATGGTGGTCCCCAAGGACACACATGCCACATGTGTCCACGGCCACTGCAGGGGAGGGAAGAAGGGGGAAAGGCAAAGAGGGATGGAGGTGGGGTGTGAGGAGGGGGAGAGGGAGGCGAAGAGGGTCCCACCGATGTCAAACAGCGATGGGGGTCGAGTCTCTGTGCAAAGCCAAGTCCCGAGAGAGGCAGGGCAGGGTTAGAAAACCACAGATTGCAGGAGGCGGAAACACATCATCAGGTCCAAGGGGATGGGGGGTTTCAGGAGGTTCCCGTCCAGCCGCAGGTACCGGAGCCGGGGCACGCTGTCCAGGTCGGAGGGGGAGAAGTCGTGGATGGACATCAGCGAGGTGGGGCAGATCTGTGTCCCGTTGATTTCTGCAGGGAGGGGAGGAAAAGCGGGATGCGGGTTAGAGGAAAGGGAAGGCAGAGAGCGATGCTAGGGACTCCCCCCTCCCTGCCGGTTGAACACCCAAATGAGATTGCTTTGCTGCCGAGGTGGGGAATCCACAGCCTCTCGCAGGAGATTGCACGGCCCCAGCGAGAAGAAAATCTTTGCTTTTGTTCAGAAGTGAAGTAGGTCACGTTCAGTCAAAGCACGGCGAGGGATGCAGTGTCATTTGAGAGAGAAAAGGGATTATTTCAAACATGAAACCTGCCGAGCCAGCCCTAAGCCTTCAAAAAAAAACCACCAAAAACCATCAAGGTAACCAGCTCATTGCTCGCTTCTGGATTTCCACGTTTCTCCCCACTCCAGGGCCTGCATTTTGGAAAATAAACCTGGGGATTCTTCTGTTGTTACCCAACTCCGGGGACTGAAACCTTATAAAAGCTGGGGATAACAGGCAAAAGGCCAAGTTGGGATGTGGCGTGCACAGCCAGGTGTCCTCTCTCCGTGGAAAGCCCTAGCAGGAGCCGGGTACCAGTGTATGTGAAGCCAGCAGTGGTCACCACCTTCACCCCAAGGTCCCCCTTGGTGTTGATTAAATAAAATGTAGATTAATCAGCAGACATTCATCACTGCATCACTATTCCCTGGGAACCAACCTCGGTGACCCCCTGCGAGAAGGGAGGTGGCTTCGTGAGGGTTTTGTCCCCCTCCCTGGCATCGTGTCCCACAGCAGGAGTAGTGCTGGCCTGCCAAGAGCATCTTTCTTGCTCATCCCTTCCCAGCTCACGTTCAGAGCCCTGTTTGGGCAGAATCCAGCCCACTTAAAGCTGGGCTGTGATTTTACAGCCCCTCTGCAGCAGCAGATCGCTTTTGCCTATAAAGCCACACACCGTCACTGCACAATTAGCACTGCAGCGTGCAAGTCCTTGTGTTCCACCACTTGTGGGGACCACCGTCCTGCCTGGTGGCTGCTTCAAGGGTCAATAACACCCGGGGGGGATGTCCTGCAGCCCCATACACCCCACTGCAGCCAGAAACAGAAGAGCCCACACTTTTCCTGGAGCACATGGAGGGTCTTTGGTGGGATCGCCATGTTCTTGCTCCCCTACAGACAGCAAGGGGAGCAGATTGCTGGCCCTCTAATAGCAGAAACATCTGGGATGACCATGAAAGGGTCTCTGTCTTCTTCTCGAAGGTGCTAGCTCTGTGTACACATCTCACAGGCCAGCACCTCTCCCGTGGAATCGTGGTGCTTTGCCTGGAATGGTGTGAAACTGCCCCGGTTGGTTTGCCAAGGCAACCTCCATCCCAGCCTTGTTCTCCCTGTTCCTCCCGCCGCGAGGCTCAGCTCGAGAGCGAAGCTGGGTTATTTCTAACCATCTTGACTGCGTATTTGGCATCTGTTCTTAAAATATGTGCACAGACTCTCCTTTTTAAATATCCCTATTTCTGAGCCCTGCAGGGGAAGCAACTATTTTGATGGCAGGTGGCCCCAAAGAAGAGCTGCCCATGACAACGAACAAGAAAATCCCTGCAGCACCAGGGGGAATTCAGCCCTGCTCCTCTGCTGCCACCATCATCCTTGGGCCATTCTCCCCCACATGCAAATCCATCCCCCTGAGGGACTTCTTCACCTGCAGAACCCTCAGCTCCTCTCACTACTGCATCCCCCTTTGAAGAGTTCACCTCCCACTGGGTGAAAAATGCCCCTTTTCAATGAAACACCATCCCCAAGCCCATCTGCTCCCCCCCAGATCTCTCCATGGCCTCCCCACTGGCCAGAGCAACTCACTTTCGATGGAGTTGTTATTCAGGTAGAGGTGCTCCAGCTTGGGGCTGATGAAAGGGACGTTGGTGAGCTTGTTGTGGGCCAGATGCAACACCAGGAGATTGGTGAGGTTGAAGGAGTCCTTGGGCAGCCCCTTGTCAGAGATCTGGTTGTAGTTGAGCCGGATGAATGCCAGGTTGGGGAACTCCTTGAAGTAGTCACTGGGGATGTCTTCAATGTTGTTCCTGTCCAGAAAGAGCTGGTGGATGGCACTGGGCACCCCAGGGGGCATTTTCCTCAGGATGTTGTGGGCGAGGTTGAGTTGCATGAGGTTCTTGAGTCCCTTGAAGGTGTTTTTATTGAAGACCCCATCACTTAGCTTGTTGTGGTGCAGGTCCAAGAGCACCAGGTTCTCCAGCTTGTTGAAGACCCCAGCAGGGATCTTGGAGATCTGGTTCCTGCTCAGACGCAGCTGCTCCAGGTTGGGTGGCAGGAAGGCAGGCACCTCCTTGAGCTGGTTCTTCTCCATGTAGAGGAAGATGAGGTTTTCCAGCTTCTCCAGGACCCGCCTGTCCACCTTCCGGATGCGATTGTTGTCCAGGTTGACCCATTTCAGCCCCGTGGCATTCCTGAAGGACTCCTCAGGGAGGTCATCGATGAAGTTGTTCTGGAGGTAGAGGTAGTGGATGCGGGACGGGATGATGGGGACCTTCCGCAGGTTGCGGCTGTCACAGTAGAGGGCGGAGGGAAAGTCTGGGGGGCAGTAGCATTCTCGGGGGCAGTCGGGGAAGATGGAGGGGGGACCCGGCGGCAGGGGTGGGGGCAGCTCTGTGGGTTCGACGGGCTCAACGAAGGCAGGAGGCGGGCGGGTGGGTTTCCGGGGGGGCTTCCTCCGCTGCCCGCTCACCTCCGAGATCAGCACGAGAACAAGCGGGAAAAGCAATCTGAAGGCCACCTTCATGGTCCAGATGTTTCCCTGAGGGAGGCAACAAGGAGAGGCGGGTTAGGAAGCACCTGATTTGGGCACCGCGTCGTCTCCCATCTCCCCCATCACTGCAGTCTGAGAGGCAGGAATTTACCCCACACCCCTACCTGCTGTTTTCCTCCTTCCCCTTGGAAGTTATCTTTAAATCCAGAGCATGAGTCACTGAGAACCCCTCTCTCTGCCTCACCTTTATGCCATGAGAGGGATTGTGGGCTTTTTTTTGTTTGGTTTGGTTTTTTTTATCATATGCCACTCGCAGCACTGCCCTGCAGAGCCTGCCCCCCCAGCCCCAGGAGCCCCAGCATCCCCACGCAGTCTCCCCAAAGGATGGATTGCCCCTTCAGAGGCCTTGATGGATTAGGCTTAATTTTGCACTTGAGCCAAAAAATCAATGATTCAGTAGCAAATTGGCTGAGCAACAGTATCAGGAGGCCAGCAGCAGTTAGCAGGGCAGAAAAGATGGATGGTCCTGTGCTTCAGGGACAAGGCTCTAATGCAGGACAGCCCATTTTCAAGGCTGTGTGATAAAGAGGGCATTTGCAAGATTACGCATGGGTGGTACTGAAGGTGTTTGGCTTTTGGCTCCCTCTGCTTCCCAAATAACCAGTCCATCACCTCCTGTCCCGCTGCAGGGTGCTGGGCTGGACTGGTTATCTGGGGAGAGTCCCAGTAGAAGTGAGAGATCTGGAGGGATCCAGTGAGGTCTCTGCTTGGCCCTAGTCAGAGCTTCTCCTGGACACCAGCCCAACACCTTACACACACCACCTCTCCATCTTCTCTGGACCGTTATCAAGCCCACAGAGGCTGCCTGGCCCATCTCTGCCCCCTCTACTGCTGCCTGGAACAGCAGCAATGGTCCCTGCCAGCCTGTTGCTGGTGGGTCTCCAGGAGGATGCCTTGGAGGATGGAGGGATCCAGCTTGTTGCAGATGAGCTCCCCAGAAAGCCCTGTGCAGAAGGTGCTTTGGCTGCTCTGACACTCCCCGGGGCCATCTGGAGCAGACCAGGCTGTGGGCTTCCTGGGCAGGCAGCAGATACCTTGGGGTGTTTGCCAGGCTTTTCCCGGCGGCGTTTGTCACCCCAGCAGGAACGGGGCTGAGCTGGATGCACGGCGAGGCAGATGGAGGAGCTCGGCAGAGGCAGGGTGGGAAAGAGAATCAAGCGAGAGATGAGGCAGGGAGAAAGACAGGAAGGAAGATGAGGAGACTCTGAGGAAGGTGGATCTCCTGGGGAAGGGAGCGTCTGCCGTGGGATGGGAGCGTGGGGCAGAAGCCTTTGATGATGCTGGAGAGAAATCAGGCTCTCCAGGCTCGTTGTTCTTTCCAATACAACACAACAGAGATGAGCTCATGCCTTGCTGGTGCACAGAGCTGCTGTCATGCCTGGGGGGTCATTGGCAACACGGACAGCCCTGCCACACCAACCCCCTTTTTGGTTACAGCTTCCCACCAGGTCCAAATCCCACCCAGCGATCCCTTAGGGCGCCCGGATGGGCCACTGCTCACCAGGGCGTCACCAGCCCAGTCCTTTTGAATCAATCCCACACATTCCTGGGGCTCCAAGTAATTGACTTTCTCCAAGAAAATGATCCTGTTCTCAACGCCCCCCCTCCAGGCCCAGCCTCTTACTTTCCTTTTTGTCTCTCTCTGCTCCCATCTGGCTCTGTTTAACCCTACAAGCCTCACATGCCTGCTGTTTTCAATCAGAGCTCTGGAATCTTGCTGGGGGAAGGGAGGAAGAGGGGGAGAGCAATGGGGCCCGAATGCTGCCAGATATTCAGCACGGCAGTGCTGCAGTAAGTCCCCGTTGGGGACGTACGTGCGTGCTTCTGTGTTGTCAGAGCTCAGATTCAGCGCTGGGCTGCAGAGAACGGGCAAATTCGTGACAGGGAGCTGCTCTACGTGCAGTCCCCTCCCTGGCCCTGCAGCATCCCGCTCCTTTCCCAACCACATCCCTCCCCCCTGCACGTGGCTCTCCCCCCACAACCGTGTCCCAGACCTTTCCATGGGATTTTTGCCTTCGCTGCAAAAATTCAGACCTGGATTTTAACACCCCCAACGCTCGGGGGAGAGGCAGGGGCTGAGGTCTGCCTTTGGCCCGTTGCAGAGGGGAGGAGGCAGCTGGGACACGATATTCCAGCCAGTACACGCTGCGATCCGGGCGTTTGGCTCCTCCAAACTCGCAGGGAGATGCTCAGCCACCCAGCAACCGCCCCGGGCAGTGTCACAGGGAGGGTGGGGGACAGGGCAGAGCTGTCACCCTGTTGGTCTGAGGAGCTGGCTGAGCTCTCAGCCCTTCCAGGAACACCCTGGCCCCACGCAGCCTGCACCATCCCCTCTGCAGGAGGCGTTAACGTTGCAGATGTTTGGGGACTCGGCATTTAGCAGAAACAGTCAGGCAGCCAGAAATTCAGGCTGGCGAGAGGCAGCATCATGTGGCATTTGTCAGCACAGAAGGAAAGTGTCAGGAGGCAGATGCAGCCCCTTTTATCTGCTCTACCCCCCAAAACCCCCTGCCACATCCCCCTGGGGACCGTCACAGCCCCTCTGCCCATCGCAGCCGGGCTGGCAGCAATGCCACCAGCAATGCCAGGCCACCAGCCAACTTCTCCAATGTTGGTCCCCACCAGCCTTCTCCTTGCAAAAGTGCTGCAGCCTCCCTCAGCCCCACAGAAGCTCTGCCCACTGCTCTCCAGGCCGCTCAGGGAAAGCAGGACCCACTTCCAAACAATCTGCAGGAAACCAGCTCGTGGCCACAGCCCCCACAAACAGCCCTGCATCCCGAGGAACGGGGATGCAACAAGCCTTGAGGCCACCACAAGCTTTACAATTGCCTCCAACGCGCTGGAAGGTTCAAAGCCAGCTCTCCCTGGACCCGACGCAGCCGGCAGCCTGTTCTCCATCCAGTTTCATGCAGTTGAATTTGCTGGCGTGAAGGCAAGAAGGCAGATTTCAAAATCCCACACCCTGACTCCGCACAAGCACCGGCTGCCGAATCCACGGCCAGAGCCTGTTCTGCCAACGCTCCACTCGACCTTTCTCACCACTCCCTGATGGACAGGACAACCCGGGTCCCGGGTCCCCACAGGGAATCCAGGAGACTGGAATAAAGTTAAACCATGAAGCAATGAATGCATTCAGGAAACCAGCTGCCCGGTGCGGAGAAAAGGCTCGATCCATGGGCAAAATCAGTTCTGACACCTCCCGGGCTGCGGGCTGGGCTGAGCAGCTTGGCCTGGGTTGTAAGAGCAAAGCACCCAACAGATGCCAGCCCAAGGTTTTTCCCAGAAAAAGGCAGCTGCTCCCTCAGCCATCCAATTACAATTGACAAAAAAAAAATAAAAAATAAAAATCAGCCCAACAGCTGGAAATTCCAGCCCCAAATGCCACTGGTGTTTAATTTCCACATAGTTTGTCTTCGCTGTGTCCCACCAGCCCACAGCTCCCAAGGAGGGCTCGCTGCCAGCCCCGCCACTGGTGCCAAGGGCGGGCAAAAATCACAACCTCCGGGGCAAGAGTGAGCTATGTAAAGGTCACGGGGGGATTTGTCACGGGCAGAAGTCCCAGCCCTCTCCCTTGGGTGCCTCCTGCCCTCCCCTTGCAGCAGTCAGACGGGCAGAGAGCAGCAGCTGGCTCTGGTTAGCTATCACCCATGCTTCGGGGACCCCTGTGCCTCCAGAGGGGCTGGGGTGGATAAAAGGAGCTTTCAACTTTGGGAGGGGAGGGAGAAAGACTAGAAGGCAGGGATCCTTTCCAGCCGGTTGCCCGTAACCCTGCTAGCTCCCTTCACAGCTTTTCCACTGGGACTCCCAATTCCCGTCATCCCCGCATCCCCCAGGCTGGAAAAATGCTCCCACCCAGCCTGGGAACGTGCACCTTGGAGCAGAACAAGGAGGGCAAGCTAAAAATAACCCAAAGGAGCCAGCGAAGCTCCCTCGTGGGCTTCCCTCCGCGTCCAACGACCCGTTGGTGTCTCTGCAGGAGCCTGGGTCTGATCAGCCGTAGCCGGAACAGGGAGCTCTTTATCCAGCGGCGCTGGAGAGCTGGGAAGGATGGAAAAGGGCTAAACACAACACAAGCCTGTCCTCCGAGGGGAGGGCAGTCACACTGTCACCCAGGCGTCCCCAGGGTCCCCTGGGGAGCTGAGCCCTGATGGAACAACCCGCTCTTCTCGCCCTTTCCCAGCCTTTTCCCAGGGAGAAGCGGAGCCGCGGGCAGACTCCTGGGCTGGGGCTGGAGCCGGGACACGGCCAAGGCAGCACCCACTGCCCTTCCTCTAGTGGGGACGGTGCTGTGTCCCACCCAAGGGATGGATGTCTCGGGAGACCCTGCCAAAGAGCAGCTCAGACACGCTCCCTGGGCTTTCAAGCGACACTTCTGGGCTCAGCCCCAGGACCACAGGACACGGGGATGGTGATGCTCCAGTGTCCCTCCCCGTGCCAGGAGCGTTTCCTCACTGTACCACAGTCACCAGACTCATTGCGAAAGGCTCGTCATCCTCACTGCTCCCTCCAGCAACCTCCTCCTGCTGAAGAGCCCGTGGGAAGACAGCCCTGGCAGAAAACACCTTTCTGCTGCCTTCTCCATGTCAGCAATTCCTCCCTCCTCCTCCTCCCTCCCTCCCTGCATGTCCCGACCCTTCCCGGGGCTCAGCCCGCCCGCAGATCCCTCTGCCACACACAGTGGAACTGGCTGGACCCAGACAAAAGGAAACCATGGGGGAAAATATTGCCAAAGCAACCACAGCCTGGCCCCCGAGCCTGCCCCCCACGCACACCCTGCTCCCCTCCAAGCCAATACCTCGCCTTGGTGCCCCCAGCTCCGCTCCCTCTAAGGATGGGAAACTGCTCTGATGCTTTATCAGCTGCTGCTGCCTCATCCCTCCCCTCCAGCCTCTTCCCCAGGGCAGAGGAAACCTCCCACAGCTGCACTTTTATCTCTTCCCAGGTGAAAACACTCAGCCCTTCTTCCTTCCCTTTCCCCAGGGTGGAGGCAGGGACACCCAGCACCCTGCATTTCTAGCCAAAAAAAAAAGGATGCTTCCCAGGACCCAGCTCCGGCAGCTTTGGGGATGCCATCAGCCCAGCACCACATAAGGCAGGCCCACAGGCTCCCAGGAAAGTTTCCAAGCCCTCATGTGTGACATGCTTTGCAGTCAGCTGCCAAGGGGATGAATTCCCTCTTTCTGCCCTGTAGATGCTTTTCCTAAAACTCTCAAACGGGCGGGGAAGGGCAGGTTTGGGATGAGTCTCTCCCGCACGACAAAAATCCTTTCCTTGGGACTTCGGTGAACATCACACTCTTGAACAGGCGGGGAAGGGCAGGTTTGGGATGAGTCTCTCCCGCACGACAAAAATCCTTTCCTTGGGACTTCGGTGAACATCACTGCCCTGTTGCTTCCCCCCATCATCTCCTGCCTCTGCTGGAGCAGAGACAAAGAGCCGGGACCCCCACGGCAGCTCTCCCCATGGCAGGAGCAGAGAGGAGCCTTCCTGGAGCAGAGCTGGCTCCAATCTCAGTGATGGAGGCAGCAAAAGCGGTGTTACACGCCCTGGGGATGCTTTAGGTGGTCTGGATTTGGTTCTGCCTCCCGGGCAGGAGAGAAGGGCTTTACCACCTACATTTTTGGGCAGAAAAGCAACTTGCTGAAAAGTGCCCCTGAAGCATCGAGGTGCTGTTTGGCTGCTCTCTCCCCCCTCGCTCTCAAAGCAGCGGGATGCTGGTCCCCTCCGCGGGGTTTGGGAAACTCCTGCTCCCCACACAGCCCCCCCCTTCCCTCGGGAGCAGCCCCCCCAGCCCTTTCTTCTGCAGATCCAGTTGCAAACTGGGAGCCTGGGAAGTCACGGTGACCCCATGCTACCAGAGAAGCATTCCTGGTTCCAGAGGTGTCCCCCCCCAGTCCTTACACTCTTTCCCTGCTGCTTTCCAAGGCAAGGGACTGCCCCAGGGATGTGCCCCCCCCCAA